CTTTTTCATATCTCAAACAAGTTCTTCATTTATGACATTTGAAATGAGCTATTTTCTGATTGATTATAAACAAGTTTCTTAGAAATGTAAATAAAGACTTAATTGATATCAGCCCTATGAATTTTCTAACAGTACTTCTTTTCTTCCCCAGACGCAAAGTGTAATAGTCACTCCTACAACAGTTAGTAGTTCCAGTGGTAAGAGAATTGCTAAAGAGTGTCTCCTGGTTGTGACTGGCAGCAGTGTATTTTTCAAGGAGATCAAGTCATTGAGAAGCGCAATAACCTGGCTTGAGGAAATTCAAATCAGGTTTCAGGTCTTCTGTTACATATGACATTTCAGTCTGTAAATATCACACCAAAGTCAGAGAACTAATATGAGTAACCCTCACCTCCATGAGGAGCAAGCTACTGAGCGTGAAATGCCAACAACTGTATCCCAAAAGAATGCTTAAGTAATTTCCCACAACATCACAGGGAAGAAATGCCAGGATTTGTGGAACATATTTGTCCATTGATCTATACCTGAATTCAGGCGCTTTAAAAAGGCAGTTAAACATAAATTCTCCAGAGACCTATTATGTTGGAAGAATATTCTAAATCAACTAAAAAATAGGAAGCTTGTTCTTTCACACAATGGTATTCATTCCTAAAAGGGCATATGATTAGAAAACTTTTTCTTTTTTTGGGGGGGGGGCGGGATTACTGGGATTAAACTCAGGGCCTCACACATGCTAGGCAAGCACTCTACTACTTATCTATATTCCCAGCCCTGGAACCATTTTTTAGGTCAGTAACGAAATTGCAATTACTCACATATTTTATTAATTAGTTGGATAAGCCTGGCTTTTAAAAAGTAATAAATACTTTTTAATAGGCTTGAAAAACTTTTTAAACAAGCTTACAAAATGAAATGAAAGTCATCTATGAAACTTTCATTCAGATAGCTGGTATTTGTTAATCTTTTCCATCTTTTATTAAACATATAGGGAAATGTACCCATATTTATTTCAAAAACAGTACAATACTGCATAAATATTTCACACTATTTTCTATCATTAAATATTCTAATACTATGTTTAATGACATCATATAATCCAACACATGGCCATAGCATATTTAATTACTTATTTTTAGATATTTTATTTTGGGATATTATTTTCAATAGCTTTTTGCATACACAAATCTTCATGCACATCTCTTATTATATCCTTAAGACATATTCCCTAAAGTTAAGTTTCCAGATCAAGCCAGTACCACATTGTGAGTTTTGTTTGTTTTGCTTTAATAAATGCTACCATATATTACCAGCAATCTACAAATAGTTTCCTGTCCCAGGAACTTCACCAGCACTGCAAGCATCTCTCTTAATATGTTCAATTCTTCTTAAAACGGTCGAATGCAAGTTATGTTTGGGTATGCTCTAATGTCAAGTTAGGCCTTGTTTACATCTCAGGGTGTCATGCAGTTAGTTTCAATTTCTGTCCTAATTTCTTTCTGAACTTTAACAGTGAGGAATAAATGAGACATCCCTTTCCATTATAGTGTAAAATCAGCCTTCCCAGCACTTGCCTATATTAGTACAAATTTATCATTTTCCTTCTGGACTATACTAGACAGGTGTTACCAGTTTTTTTTGTTGTTGTTGTTCTCCTTTTTCTAAAAATTTTGAAAAAAAATACACTTATTTCTATTACTTCAGATTTATTTTTCTTTTATACTTTTGCTTAAAAAGAAATTCCAAGAATTGATATGAGTGGTATTGGCAGAATTAAGCCTATTGCAACCAATGTCATTTACCTTAGAGAAAGGCAAGAAATACAACTGACTCCATTGTATAATTTTCATCATTATTATCACCATGACTGCTGTATTTTTTTTAAATTGCCTACCTCATATATACCATGGTGCTCTATCCCATAAATAAGAAAATAAGATGCAGCACACTTAATCTTCAGTTGATTTATTTACTAGTTGAGGAATGAGGACACATATATAAAATAATAATACCTTATGTATATACTAGCATATCTTAAGAGTCCAAGAGAAATCAACCACTCAATATTCTTGGAGTATGAACAAGTGATTATTAAGGAAAGTTGCCTTCAGTGGGATTTGATCCACATCTTGAAGAAGGACCAGAATTTTAAGACAAGAGGTGACATTACTGAGAATGCACATGACTTTTTCAGAGCAAAAATAATAGCAAATGAGACAGACTGGTTCATCCAATATTATGGTCGGAGAAATACCTGGAATATTTAGCCAGCCTTTAATTCTAGTTTAGCAGTGTGAGTATAAGAAAGGTCCACTGAAAATAGAAAACCATTTAATGTTTTATAAGAAATGAATTTACAAACAAATTGGGAAATTCTTTAGATATCACCATGAAAAATGTAAGTATGAGGTAATTATGTTCTAGACCAAATATGTGCAGAAGACATTAAAAGTAAGCACAGATACTCAAACCATTAAGAGAGAAGAGTCAACTGAACTTAGCAACTGAGTTAAGTATAAAAATAAGAAACTACAGGAAATTCCACAAACTTCTATTAAACTGTGCTTCAATAAGGGACTCTTAAATGAAGGAACATGCCACCAACCATGGGCTTCTTATAATTGGGAGTTCATAACCCACTTCAATCTAATGTATGAAATATGATATGTCAAGAGCTTTGTAATGTTGTGAACAACCAATAAAAAAATAAAATTATTAAAAAAATAAATAAATAAAATATTTTTTTAGTTTAAAAAATTGACATCAGTGTACATTAGTACAAAAATAGCTGATCTTAAATGTCATTTGGAGAATATTGTTTGAATTGACTTATTTTGCTATGGTTTTACCTTTGTGATAGCATACAAAATAAAAATTTGCTCAGCTAAAAAAAAAAAAAAACAAAAAAAACTCCTTAGGGAACAGGTGATCACCTCTACAGGAGGCTGAAAAGTGGCCAAAACAACCACAGGTAAATTGATGCTGGAGCTTTGACTGGAGGGATGAAAAGATTTTCATCCAAAGAAAAGTGGGGAAATCTAATAAAGACAGCAAAAGAGAAACCAAATATCACCTTTAAAATTTTATCATTATATGATTGGAGAAAGACATTCAGAAGGAAACCTGGTAGTAGAAATGTCTTATGGAAAGATAATGAGTTCAATTTAGTCTTTAAACAAATACAAAGAGGACATCCACAAATTTGGAGGCATTGGGGACACATCAAGAACAAAGCAGACAAAAAATTTCTGCTTCCACGTTAGTTTACATTCTAGTGAATACATAATTAGAAGTATAGTACTCAGCAAAGCTGCTGTTGTAATGTGTCTTTTATATTTTCCTTTACTTTTTTTGTCACCTGTATCAATAAGATAAAATAGGCACACAAGAAAACAAGAGTGACTAGAATCTGACTTAACAAGTCATCACTTTGGCAACAAAATATACCAAATAACTTATTCCCTTTGAGGCTTTAAACTGTCCTCAAACTGACCTTGATGTCCACAAGCTTCAAACAAATGGTTTAGTAATTGAGAGCAATAAATTAGAGTCAATTGCATTTAGTTGGGAGAATTTAAAGTCTTAATGTGCTAAAATAGGCTGACCTTCTTCTAGCTTTGCATTTTTATTGCACCCTTCTGCTCTTAGTGCATGCATGAGGTTATGCTGAGACCTTCTGACCTTAGCAGTACTTCATGAGATGTGTCTGGACTACAGTTCTCACTAGGACTCATTGCTAGAATGTTCAAAGGGAGAAAATTAGTATTGGAAAAGTATTTTCAGGTCAGAAATAAGAGTTTTGAGTGACTAACCTTAGAAGTGAAATTTTTGTTGCAATTAAAATGCTCAGTTTAAATGAAGAAAAAATGCATACCCTATTTAGCATTACAATTCAAACTGCTCTCAAGGACTGTTGAGGGGTACTGAGTAATACCATTTTTTTACTCAACTCTATAGATGCATAGTATTCATTTCATCCTTCAGTAACCTAATATCCTAAAAAGTACAGCTTATTGGAGACTTTAAAGTTTTCTAACTTCAAAACTCCTGGGAGCTAATCTTCAGAGTCTTCACCTGACTGGTTGAAAAATCTTCAGTTAATTCCCTACAAAAGCAGTTTGGGGCTTTGTTTATTTGTTTATTCATTTATTTGCTTTTAAATGAGTACTAAGAGCAGTTTCTTGAAGTTTTAAATTATGCCTATTTTTTTTTCTGAAAACATGTTCATGTGAAATTAATTGTTCTTACCAAAGCCCTGGCTATATCTAATCATGTCAAGGCCATAGGTCAAGATCATCTCAAAGCAGCGTGGTACCAAAGTTATCTCCATGCACTTAGCTGTCGGTAGATAATCGCATCTAATTTCTGCTGGAGCAAGATGGCAACAATCTGAAGAGCCCATTTTAAAATAAAATTGTCTTTGGAATATGGTTTCAAATGTTAGATGCCTCACAAATTTGGTTTAATAAATAAGTGACTAATCTTACTATTGTCATATACAGTCTAAAAAGGAATAGGGCGCAGTTAACTTCAAGAACTTCACAGTCTAGTAAGCTTTATCCTTATTATATTATGCTTGTTCATGTATTATAAAGTACTTTAGATTTCTGGTTTTCATTAAGAGCTGGCTAAAGTCAGTTTTAAAATATTAGATCTTATTTTTAAGCATATAAACTATCAGATCTCCAACTGGTAATAGTCTAAACATTTCCATCCATTTCAGAAAAGATTTCAGATATCCAATAATCCACATTTTATAGAGAGTTGGCAAGGATCTTACTTAAATTCACCTTTCTAAGTCTAGTCAAAAGGCTTTCAATTATAGTCTACATGAGAGTCTAGAATATGGAAAATAACACTTATTGGTAGTGATTATTTTAATTTATGATGGGTTTATTATTTTACTTCATACACTGGGGGTAGAATACTTTCTCTGTTTTTACTGACATGTGTCATCTGTTTTTTCCTAGCCCATCTTTATAAACACATGTACTGTGTCTTAGTTTTCCAGATCAAGAAATTCGTAAAGTGGCAGTTCAACAATTAAACACCCTCTTGAATGATGAGCTACTGGAATATCTCCCACAGCTGGTTCAGGTAAGAACCACAAAATCGCTATAGGAATGCCAGGATAATAACTAATCATTCTATAAAAAGTTCCCAATGACTGCACCAATTTGCAGTCCCACCAGCAATGTATGAGTGTACCTTTTCCCCTACATCCTCGCCAACATTTATTGTTGTTTGTCTTCATAATAGCTGCCATTCTGACTGAAGTGAGATGATATCTTAGAGGAGTTTTGATTTGCATTCCTCTAATTGCTAGAGATGCTGCACATTTTTTTATATATTTGTTGATTGATTGTATATCCTCTTCTGAGAAGTGTCTGTTCAGGTCCTTGGCCCATTTGTTGATTAGGTTATTTATTTATTTTTTTTTTTTGGTGCTTAGGTTTTTGAGTTCTTTATGTATCCTAGAGATTAGTGCTCTGATGTGTGAGGGGTAAAAATTTGCTTCCAGGATGTAGGTTCTCTGTTCACCTCACAGATTGTTTCTTTTGCTGAGAAGAAACTTTTTAGTTTGATCCCAATCCATTTATTGATTCTTAGTTTTAATTCTTGTGCTATAGGAGTCATATTAAGGAAGTTGGGGCCTAATCCCACATGAAGATTAGGGCCTACTTATTCTTCTATTAGATGCAGAGTCTCTAAGCAGTATGGAGATTCCTTGGAAAGCTGGGAAAGGAACCACAATTTGACCTAGCTATCCCTCTCCTCGATCTACACCCAAAGGACTTAAAAACAGCATACTACAGGGACACAGCCACATCAATGTTTATAGCAGCACAATTCACAATAACTAAACTGTGGAGCTAACCTAGATGTCCTTCAGTGAGTGAATAGATTAAAAAAAATGTGGCATATATACACAATGGATTTTACTTAGCAATAAAAGAGAATAAAATCATGGTATTTGCAAGTAAATGGATGACTTTGGAGAAGATAATGCTAAGTGAAGTTAGCCAATCCAAAAAAAAAACAAAACAAATGCCAAATGTTTTCTTTGATATAAGGAAGTTGACTCATAGTGGGGTAGGGAGGGGGAGCATGGGAGGAATAGATGAATTCTAGATAGGGAAGAGGGGTGGGAGGAAAAGGGAGGGGACAGAGGATTACCAAAGATGGTGGAATGTGATAAACATCATTATCCAAAGTACATGTATGAAGACTTGAATTGGGTGTCAACATACTTTATATACAAAATGAGATATGAAAACTTGTGGTAAATATGTGTAATAAGAATTGTAATGCATTCCACTGTCATTTATTTTAAAAAAACAATAAAAAAGTTTCCAATGAATCAACAATAAAGAACTTAAAAATGATATTGTAATTTAGTCAAAGAACTGAGTTATAGCTCCTATGACAATGTGGACATTATTTAGTCAAAATTCATACTGCAACAAAAAAGGCATGTATAAAAGCCAAAATGGAATTTTTTTAAAAAGTGATTTCATTTATTAATTAAAGCAGAGAAAAATATATTTATGATAAAATCTTTTCATAACTGTATGTGTAAAACATTAAATAAATGTTAGGTAAAAAACTATTTTTCTCATAATTTATGAGCTTCTTGAGGATTTTCAAGATGGCAGAATACAGAAGGTTGCTTTCCAGGATGCTTCATGGTATGAAACTAAGGAAGAAGGCAGGCAGTTTCTCAGCAAGTGAGGTACTAGACACCTTTCTACCTTGTAAGCCTAGAGGGTAGAAACTCTGCTGCCTCACATAGATACTGTTGGATTGGTAGACACACAAGCAGCATGAACAAGCAAAGGAACAAACTGCCCAAAACAAACCAATGTACTTCAATAACAGAATCCATGGACACCACAGTGGAAGAAATGTCAGTGAAGGAGTTTATAATGTACATAGTTAAACTGATCTGCAAAGTAAAGGAAGGTATAAGGTATGAAATCAGAGACAATATGGGAAGTAAAAGATCACTTCAATAAAGAGAGATTTGGGTGAAAAAAACACAAGCAGAAATCCTCAAAACTTTGGCATATATACACAATGGAATTTTACTAAGCAATAAAAGAGAATAAAATCATGGCATTTGCAGGTAAATGGATGGAGTTTGAGAAGACAATGCTAATTGAAGTTAGCCAATCTCAAAATACCAAATGCCAAATGTTTTCTCTGATATAAGGAGGCTGATTCATAGTGGAGTAGGGAAGGGGATTATGGGAGAAATAGATGAATTCTAGACATGGCAGAGGGGTGGGAGGGCAAGGGAGGAGCATGGTATTAGAAATGATGGTGGAATGTGATGGACATTATTATCCAAAGTACATGCATGAAGACACAAATTGGTGAGAATATACTTTGTATGCAACCAGAGATATGAAAAATTATGAGCTATATGTGTAATATGAATTATAATGCATTCCACTGTAATATATAAATAAAAAATTTTTAAAAATCCTCAAAATGAAGGAATCAATAAACCAAATTAAAAATTCAATCAAAAGCATCACCAACATACTAGATCACTTGGAAGACAAGATTTTCAGGCAATGAAAATATATAATCTTGAAAACAAAGTTGACCATGGAGAAAAGATGTAAAGTGACCATGAACAGAACTTCCAAGATATATAGGATAACCTGAAAGACCAAATTGAAGATTTATTGGGATAGATGAAGGTTCAGAGATACAAACAAAAGGAAGGTACAATCTTTTTGATGCAATAATATCAGAAAATTTCCCAAACCTAAAGAATGAAATGGAAAAGCAAATATAGAAGGCTTACAATACTCCAAATATACAAAATTACAACAGATCCACACCAAGGCACATTATTATGAAAATGCCTAATATGCAGAAAAAATGATACAATTTTAAAGGCCGCTAGAGAATAATGACAGCTAACATTTAGAGGAAAATCAATCCAGATCTCAGTTGTTTTCTCAACACAGGTTCAGAGCTGGGAGGTATTGGAATGATATATACTAAGATCTGAAAAAGAATGGATGCGAGCCAAGAATGCTATACCCAGCAAAATTAAGCTTCAGAATTGATGATGAAATAAAAACTTTCCTAGATTAAAAAAAAGTGAAAAGTATTCACTAGAAATCCTGCACTGCAAAACATACTAAGATATTTCATGAAGAAGAAAGGAAAAATAAAGGTGAAAACTACCAATGCAAAAAACTACACTAAAAGAACAGTGAATCAATGGAGAAACTAATTCAAATTAAAAACCAGAAATAAATCAAAATGACATGGAATAAAAATCATATCTCAATGATAACATTGAATATAAATGGCAATACTCATTAATCAAAACACATAGACTGAATATTGAATTAGAAAACAAGACTTAAAAATATGCTGTTGCCAAAAGACTCACTGACAAAGACTTCTGCAGACTGAAAGTAAAAGATTAGAAAAAACATGTCATTCACATGGATCTTGTAAACAAGCAGGGGTTTTTTCCTTGTATAGGTAAAATGGACTTTAAGCCAATATTAATCAGGAGGGGCAAAAAAGACCATCCATACTGCTGAAGGGAATCATATAACAAGACATACAATTGTAAATATTTATGATCCCCAAACTGGACCACCTAGGTGCATTAAACAAACCCTTCTCAATTTCAAGAATCAAACACAATAACACTGGGTGACTTTAACACACCTCTCTCACTTCTGGATTGATCCAAACAAAAACTAAATAAAGAAGCTATAGAACTAAAAACTACAATTAATACTTTAGACTTAACAGACATATATAGAATATTGCATTCATCAATGTCTGAATACACTTTCTTCTCAGCAGCACATAGATCCTTCTTTAAAATAGAATATAACTTAGGCCACAAAGCAACTCTTAGCAAATACAAAAAAATATATATAAATAATACCTTTCATCCTACCAGATAATAATGGAATGAAATCAGAAACTCACATAAAATAAAAAATAAAAACTACTTTCATGACTGGAGACTAAATAATATGCTATTAAATGATGAATTGATAGCAGAAGTAATCAAGGATTATAACAAAATACTTAGAGGTAAATTAGAATAACAATACAACATATCAAAATATCTAAGACACTATGAAGGCAGTGAAAACAGGAAAGTTAATTGTACTGAGCTCATGTATTAAAAGAATAGAAAGTCAATGAATAAATAACCTAACATTATATCTCAAAGCCCTAGAAAAAGGAGAACAAATCAACACCAAAGGCAGTAGAAGACAGGAAACAATTAAAATCAGAGATGAAATTGAAACAAAAGAAACAATCCAAGGTATCAACAAAATAAAAAGTTGATTCTTTGAAAGAATCAATAACATTGATAAACTCTAAGCCAAACTAACAAAGAAAGAGAAAAAAACCTCAAATTATTAAATTTGTGATGAAAAAGGAAATATCACAATGGACACTACTGAAATACAGATGATAACCAGAACCTATATTGACAATTCATACTGTAATAAAATAGAAATTGTGAAGACATCAACACCTTTCTGGAGACATATTACCTACCCTGATTTAATCAGGAGGGCATAGGAAATTTAAACAGATGAATTTCAAGCAATGAAATTGAAGATATCATCAAAAGCCTATCAAGAAAGAAAAGCCCAGAACCAGATGGACTCTCAGCTGAGTTCTATCAGACCTTCAAAGAAGAACACACCAATCCTTCTAAAATTATCCCATGAAATAGAAAAGAAGGGGACCCTTCCAAACTCATTCTATGAAGCTATTATCACCCTGATACCAAAATCAGACAAAGAAACATCAAGGAAAGAAAATTTCAAACCAATATTCCTGATGAACATAGATGCAAAAATTATTAATAAAATACTGGCAAATCACATACAAAAACATATTACAAAGATAGTGCACCACAATCAAGTGAGGTTCATCCAAAGGATGCAAGGTTGTTTCAACATATGGAAATCAATAAACATAATTCATCACATCAATAAAGTCAAGAATCACATGATCCTCTCAAGAGATGCAGAATAAGTATTTGGTAAAATATACAGTATCCATTCATATTCAAAACACTAGAAAAACTA